TTTTAATTAAATAAATATATTCACCAATGTATCTTTCTTTATAATTAATGAGTTCAAATATGGACGACAAAATAACTGAATTAAAAGATAAACAGCAGATAATAGGGGATAAAATAACTCAACTTCAACAGACGAACAAAAAAAAAGACGAAGAAGCAGCGGAAATTCGTAGGCTTATTGCCGAATGTAGGCAAAATTTAAATCGTATTAAAAACGTAGCACCGGATGCGGATACCCCCTTTGTATTACCCCCGTGCACCGAATTAGATAATTTTGATCCGGAATTAAGGAGAGCGTTGCCGGTGTCTCAAACACCGCCAAACACCGAAGACAAAAATGAAAAACCTGAAAGGAATCGCTGTGCGGAACTATTAGCTAAAAAAGAATGTAAAACCTTTCCGAGTCCTTGCAAAAAGTCTAAAAATGGAAAAGACAAGGTTGTGAAAACTTAACTCATATACTTTAACCATAGATTTTTGATTTCTTAAAATTAAAATTCAAGTAACGATAATTTTAAATTTTGCACAGGAAAGAGTTTCTTGTCGCGTAGATTTAAATAAGATGAAAGTTCGACTACGGGGGCCTCCAGAAGACTTGAAAAAACTTGATGCAACTCAACTCATCAACTTATTGGAAAAGTTTCAATGCACTGAACTAATAGTAAATACTGGAGATGAAACGGTAAAGGTAATTAATACCTCCAAAAAATGTCCAACACTCAAAAATTCATTAATTTAATTTACAAAATGTGAAATCGAGTACCGTTTTTTTAACAATAAGCCAACAATTTTAGGATCCTGGAGAAATACGACTGGTTTACTTCTTGCATCCAGGGAATTTAATCATGGTCGCCGGTGTGATTATGATAGCTTTTCTCATAAACGCAAATTTATGCAATCCGAAAAGATCGAGCAAAATAAAATTCTCACTCAACGTATTATACTTAAGTAGTTTTGCACTTCATTACGGAATGGTTCTATGGATGTCTTTCATTCGCGGTAAACCTACAAAAATATGGAATATTTAAAAATTTTCCTTCAAAAGTCACGACTAAACTTTTTATTCCCGGATTTTTTTTTTAGGTTACGCTCTTAAATACGGACTTAATCAAGATAATTTTCATTTAGTAGATAACATTATCCTTCCAAAATATTTTTCTGTTTGTGCTGTTCTTAGCGCTTTATCTCTCTATTCCTTTTTAACGCTTCATTGTGTTTCACCTTGTACATCCTGGTCTTTGGAATTAGTAGCTCAAGTCAGTATAAATTTTTTTTTTTTTTTTTTTTTTAAACACTATTTGTATTTTTTTTACACGACATTTGTTTTGTGTAAATTACATCAAGCTTTTCCAAGGTTTAATTGAAAACTAATTTTTTGTGAAATTTTCCATTTTCAGTTGATTGTGATCGTTCTAACATTTTTCATTGAATTGGTCACTTTGTGTTATATTGTGCCGGCTTTAATTAAATTAAGAGAAGCAACGGATGCGTACATAATAGACGAAGATGAACCAGATTGTGCTGTTCCGGATAGCTACGAGAAAAACTTGATAAAACTATGCAAACTTAGCCGGTCGATTTGTCTAGTTAATTTGTTTACTTTAATATTTCTTGGCGCAAACGTTTATTATTTAACATCCAGACTCCATGTTGGAAACAAAATTTAAATTTTTTTTTAACTAGTCTCGATTATTAATAAAAATTATTAATAATTTTTAGGGAAAATGTAAACGAAAAAGTATATGATGAGCTTAGCAAATGTTAAGTAATACCAAATTTTATACATATAGAATTTCACTACTTTTACGTGACATTATTTTAATTAATAACCTTTTTATTTAGGAATTTATTTTTTAATTTTTTTTTTTTTACACAAATAAAATTTAAAAACATGAATGTATTTCTAATGGTTAATTTAAATTACTGTCATCTACACTATTAAATTTGTATAAATATATAACATTTAACTTTTTTTTACGTGGACTCTCATAATTACTTTTTAAAATAATTTTCTTTTTATTCATAAGTTTTTAATAAGTTTAGTGAGAAAATTTTTTTTTATCATATAAAAAATGTGCAACTTACTTTGAGAGGATGCAGGATGAATTAAATGAACTGAATTTGTTATTCTGGCAACAATACATAATGGATTAATTCCTCCTAATTGTTGAGTGAGTTTTTTTGACAAACAAACAACTCCATCCTTTGAGAGAGGAACAATTTCAACACTAAAATAAAATTCATTATTTTTTAAATTCTAACAACTAAGCATGTCATTATTTTAAATAAAATCATTTGATGATAAATTTAAAATTAAATAATGAATGTTTTTGCATCTTACCTCCAAGTGTATTTATAATTGTAGGTGTTTGAATGAATATCGTGAGATATTAATTTTTTAGAATGTTGGCTTCTACATGGTAAAACATTTGTAATAAAATCTACCATTTTTCTAGCATGAGCTTCAGTTGAATAAAAAAAATCTAATCCCTCTGGAAAGTAAAAAATTTTATGAATAAATTAAAAAAAAAAAAAAAAATTTAATCTTAGGAAATTTTTTTTTTTTGTTTACCATGAACAGGTTTTATTCCTAACGTATTCTCATGAGCTTTGTGTTTTAATATAAGTTGTTCTAAATAAAAAAAAGTTTTCTTATTTTCACATCTCTGCCTTACTTGCACCAAGCACCTCCAATAATCTTTCGCTTCTGTTTTATGACAATCACTGCACATTTGATGTCCGACAATATATTCAACAACAAATACTTGTTGTAAAATAGCTCCACCCAAAACTTCTCCATGAACAGTTAATTTTACCTGTTTATTTTTACTGCTTCAAATTAGAGTATTTAATAAGGTAAATGATACATTAAATAAAATATAAACTTATCTACCTTAATTCTTTTAGAATGGGGTTCAGTCCATACAAATCCTGCATCGATTAATTTTAATCTGTTCAATCCTTTTAATTTCTTTAAACAAAATGCTAATAACTCTCTTGATTCTAATGCACAATAAATCCATTCCGATGGCGGTTGCAAATATCTGAAGAACATAGAAAATCATTAAGTAATTGAAAATGAAAAAAACACAATGAATGTATAAATGTGCACTTAAGATATTCTCTTAATAAATAATTGAAATCATCAACAACCTTTCACAACCTTTGCAAAAATAGATAGTAACTTGTTTTGGAATTCCTTCGGTTATGTCAACTCTGGTTCTTAAACAACCGACACACATATTAGAAGGATTAGGAGTAATTAATGTACCACATTGACAGCACAATCTAAAATCAAAAATAATACTTAAAAATTTACCAGAGACATATATATTTAAAATAAAATATAAATACAAATAAAATTACATTTTAGCATCGTTAGGTTCCTCCTTGAATGTTACGTATTCCATTTTTATGACTCTTATTAATAATTCATAAAATATTAATAAATTTTGCTACATGTGGGAAAGTAGCAGAAATCTAATGCCACGACGTGTCTTACGTAACCGCTAGTAATTCTGTTTTTAAAAATGAACAACCTTCAATTAAAAATTACATTTATTTTTTGATTTAAATATCAATAAATATTTTTGGCAGTAAAGTCAATATAAAATTATAATTACTTTTAATTCATCTTATTTAAAAAATACTTAAGTTAGATTTTTACTCAACAACTAACTCTCTAACCTTTTCAATGATTTATATTAAAAATTAAATAAAATAATTTAAATTAAATTTTTTGTACACAAATTTATATTGAATACAGGATCGGTATTGAACATATTAGTATTAAAATTTACCTTAATATAAAAGAATTTTCTAAACTAATACCCAAATATACAAAAACCTTTAAATCAATTAAATTCTTTAAAAATTGCAAATATATGTAAAAAACTTAAATTAAAATACATAGTTTAAAAAAGAAATTTTTTAAACAAATTATAACTTTATTTGTTCTTTGATTATGTACTGTATGAATCTATTACAGATCCCCAAATTTCAGCTAAATATTCTTCCTGCGTTTGCCAAAGTGTCTCAAGGACAGACCAACCAACATCTTGGCTATCCAAAACGTAGGTATTTTCTGGATGTAAAGAAAAAGTATGTAAACCTAATACAAGACTTTGACAAATTCGTGTGCTTATGCATATCTAAAAAAAAAATTTTTTTTTTTGTAAAATATTTTTAAAAATTTAGAATTGAAAAGAAATTTTAATAGAAATACATGAAATAATAATTAAACCTTCAATAACTTGTAGTTAATGTTAAAATCCGGCCATATATTTAAAAAACCGGCTAACACGTGACCCGCGCCAACTATAATATCTAAATTATGTCTTTTACATTCTAACATCATGTACGTAATTGTTATGGCCAATTCAAAAAAATAATTTGAAAAATGCGAATCCCCTAAATCCAAAATGGCTGCCACATCCCACTTTCCTTCCTCATTTTGTGACATCAAAATATTATGTGGATTTATGTCTCCGTGAATTACACCTTTCTCAAATGTATTTTGTTGCGATAAAACTTTAGAAATAAATTCTTCAATAACGTTTTGAACTATTTTTCTATGACTCAAATTATTCACCAAATTAATATATTTTAATAAAATTGGCGCATTTTGAAGATACCATTTTGATTCAAACGTAAGATTAGAACGTAACGTAAAATTCTGCAAAAAAAAAAATTCGTCGTTTTTTAATGTGTCCGATTTAATTTTTCTTTCATAAATTCAAATAAAAAAAAAAAAAACCTTTAAAACTTTGTCGAGTTTAGCTGTGAATTTTCCTATTAAGTAAAAAATATCAAAAGATTTCGGTATATTTAAAAAAAGAATCCCTGGTTGAAATTTTAAAAGTCTTACTATGTGTTCTTTCTGACACGTTTCGGATTTATATTTAAGGGGAATTTTTATTTTAATGTAATATTTTTCCATTAAATTTTTAACAGGCACAGGTGCACAAATATTGTGTTCTTCTGCAACATTAAGAAAATATTTTCGTTAAAATAAGTATTAAATTAAACTAACGCATGTCTTTTTTTTTCTCGTTTTGTAAAAAAAAAAAATTAACTCACTTAAAAAAAGCAATATTTTATTTTGAAATTCGGTTAATTCAACGTTTTTCGAATCAAATGAATTCATTATTTTTAATACGTATCCGTGGGGCCATATTTTTGATATGTATGGATTATTATTTTTGGGAGATGAGTATTGAAAGTTTAAATCATCGTAACCCAATAATCTTTTTATGTCGCCATCTTTTAAACCATAAAATTTTTCAATTATTAATTTTACTTCTTCGTCCTTGACGTTGGCAACAGTGTTTTCAACTTTGGACTCGGTGCTTTCATTCATTTTCGTATTTATGAAAACTAAAAAAAAGCGGTTTATACAGGATTTAAAAAAAAAAAAAAAACAATAATAAAAATTTGTGATGCTTATTAAATTTTAATTTACCATACGAAATATTAGAATTAATATTTTAAAAATAAATAGGTTCCATGTTTTTTTTTTTTTTAAGTAAAAAAGAATTTGTTAACTCTACAAAAGTATAATTTTTCCAAAATTTTAATTTTTAAGTTTAGTAATTATTTAAATTATGTAATAATACTTACTTTTTAATTTTTATCAAACGTTATACAAATTGAAAATATTTTTTAAAGACTAAATCACTTACGAATTATTGTAAAACGCGTTTTGGCATGAAAAGTTGAGATTAGAAGTCAATTAATGATTGCTTATCATTAATAAAAAATTGATAAATCACTTAAACATATTGCCTTATTAAAATTTTAATTTAAGTTTTATTATTTTTTTAGAAGTTTACTTCCTTCCTTTTGAAAAAAAAAAGTTTATTTCCTTTTTATTTAAAAAGAAAAAAAATAATATATTTTTAATAATGTAATTTTAACTGTGTCCCTGCCAAATCTCTATTATGAAATAGTAATTTCAAAATTATGAATAATTTTTTTTTTTAATATATATTTTATTTATATAATTTAAATAATAAAAAATAAAGCTACGAGCGCAAAAAAATACATTTTGTAATTTTAATTATTTAAAAAAAAAACTATTTGAATTGGTTTTTACTTAAATTTGACACAAACAAATGTAAAAAATAATAACTCTTATTCTAAGTAAGAAATTTTTTTTTTTTCAAGTTTATTTTTAAGGGTTATTATTTTTTGAAAAAATAAAAACGTGGTTTTAGAACACGTTGTTGTACTATGTTTTTTACGCTTGTATTTCAAACTAAACATACCATCAAAAAAAAAAAACCGTTGAGTTTTTTATATTTTAAGGACTGTTTTTTATGTATTTTTTAATGATTTCGATCTATTTCAGTAATGAATTAATATATTTAGTCAAAAATAAAAGTTTAAATTTTATATTTTAAAAATGAAGTAAGAAAATTTTTTTTTATTTTTTCTGTAAAAATAATTATGTTCTTGTGATAGATATTATATATTATAAAATTTAAATAAGCTTTATTAAATCTACTAATTTTTATTAAATTGTATACTTGTTTTGTTCTAACTTATAATGTATTTGAAAATTTTTTTTATCTCCCAGGTGTATTCCCAGAACACCTCCTAGTAATTTACCTGGAAGTAGAAATCCTATATTGGAGCACACTTTACACATTCAACAAGCATTACATAAAGCCAAAGGTCATTTATTTTGGGGTTGCATCAATGTGATTGTCTTGTCTTTATTCCTGTATGATATGTATGCATCATTACAATTTTAAGAATAGAATATTTTTTTATTCGTGGCACATAATTTATAAAGCCTGGTTTTTTTAGATTTACTACAACTCAGGATTATAAAAAATCAAGTTATTTACCTTATCAAGTGAAAGTTATATTAGCCGGAGTATTTGCCATAAATTCATTTTTTCATTTTGTAAAATATATTTTTTACACAAACAATTTACAACCTGTTTCTTTGTCACCAAAGCAAAAAAAATTACTGGGTGTAAAATCAAATGGTATGTTTAATAATTTGATTATTTTAAAACATAATTTTAATTCATTTTGAAAACTTTAATACAAAATATGTTTATATAGAATTTTTATCTTAACCTTAAATTTTTTTTTAAAGGCCTAATAGAAAATTTAAAAATGATGTATAACTTTTCAGAAATGTTTCGATTGTTTATACGATTGCTTAAATTAGTTTTTCAATTCAAAAAACAAATATTTTTATTTTATATTTATTATTTTTTAAAATTTTAAATTTAAATTTTTATCAGATCCATATTTTAAAACCATTTCCAATGAAAATGCACCTTGTGCTGATTCTTCAAGTTTTATGTCAGAGGTTGATTTTAATTCGAGCTCACCTGGAAACATAACTCCGCCAACGTTAATGTTTCCATCTTTATTAAATGAATGTAAGTTTTTCGTTTTTCATTTTACAATTAAATTTACAAATAAATAACAATAATTTGTAAGCTTAAATTCTAACTCAAGTATAATAAATTTTAAATTACAGCTGTTTCTCCTGTTCACAATTATTCTTGTCCATCTTGGGTTCACCATAAAAAAGCCTCTTCTCCAAATTCCCTAAAACCTGCCTTATATCCTGTGCCAGCATCAAATGATTTTATTTCAGGAGAACACACTTTAAACAGGTATATTCACGACTTTGAGGAAAATGAAAAAAAAGCATGTGTGAGTATGAGTATAGAAGAAACTTCTAATTCATTTAGTTTTTGGTCTAATTCCAATATGAGAAATCTAAGTGAAGTTTCTCCTCTTCTTCGCAGATGCACATATCAGTTGTCTTCGATTACTCCAGGTACAAAAATAAAATTGAAAAATTTTAAAGAAAAAGTAATTAATGGTAGTAGTTAATAAGTATATTATATGAATGTGATAAAATAATTAATTATTTTAGGGCAGTCACCAAATAATCAATGTTCCAGTACGGAAGAAAGCGGATCTCCATCTGGTGTTCAGTTAAATCAAGAAATTTGGAGACGCTTTAAAGTTGACCCGATAAAATTGGTGCAATGGAATGCTAACCTGAGAATGGTAGAGTGCTATTTCAAAAATAATAATACTTTTTAAAGTTTTTTTGTTATTTTATGATTTTTCAATTTTTTTTTTTGTTATAGTGGATATCGCAAACAGTTCTTCAAAGATTGGTGAATGAATTTGATAAAGTAGATGAATCTTTTCAAAAATGTGGACTATCAGATATGCGACTTGGTCTTGTCGGTTTAGAAAGACTTAAAAAAACTGCTAATATTCCTCAAATTTCCTCTAGCATACCATCTCTTCCTCGTTTGGTTCACTTTTTAGAAATTACTCCTCATCAAGAATATTTGGTTGCTCGAATTAGAGGTAAAGAAAAAAAAAAAGAAAACATTTAACAATTTTTTATAAAATTAATATTAAAAAATTTTTATTCTTCTCATTAGAACTCGCTAAAGGTGGAAGCATATCTGAGTATCGGTGGGATAGCGGAGGAACATTAAATGGAAAAAATTGGGAAGAACATTTACCAACTGACGCAGCAGTTATTATGCACCTCATTGCTACTTATTTAGATTCTCAAATATTGTTTTTTCCTCATCATACAGACGGTCGACCTTTTACAACGAATCATTTTATAAGGAGTCCCGAAAAGCCTAAAATTCAAAATGCTTTAGTAATTTATCAAGTTCAATTAAATCCGCCTCATTTTGTATTATTGGAAAATAACGATCGCTTAGAAATGGCCAAGGTAAATAATATTTTAATGAAAAATTTTTAGTTTTCTATATATATTTTGGTATAAACGCTGAAATTAGCAAGTAAATTAATAATAAAATTTTCTTTATTCATTTCTTATAGGGACGAAACAATCTCTTTCATACCTTTCTCTTGTTTCTTCATATTTTGAAGACAAAAGAACATGGAATGCTGGATAGAGTTAATTTGGGATCATCCGGTGTTAATATTTTGTGGGTGGTGGACGATTAGCCATATCAAAATAACTTTACTTTTTATATTTTATTTTGAAAGTTGATATTTTCTAAAAATTTTCTTTCGTCACGGGCAACAGGGAGTGATTGCTGTATTTTTAATATTAAGAGTGTTTGGCAACAATTGAAGTAACATTTAAAAGTAAAAATCGCAAATAAAAATAAAATTTTTTTGACTAATTTTTTAATTCATTGAATAATAATTGACTCATTTTTTATTTTCATAACAATTTTTAATTTTTTTTTATATTTTAAACAAAATTTGATTGTTTGATTTTTACAAAAAAAAAAATACTATTTTTTTCTCTTCAAAATTTTAAAAATATATTAATAAAAACAAGAGTTTAAAAAAATTTTTGCCTTTGAACTGTGGTTGATTTATCGAATGAGAAATGAAATTTATAATTCTGGTTTTTTTTAAATTAATAAGTAAACTCATTATTTGTTTTCTAATTATTTTTAATTTTTTATAATAAAACTTTTGAATTTTATAATTGCAAATACAAAATTAAATTTAAAAATAATAAATAATTGTAAATTTTTTATTAACTAATTCCTAACCATGTCATGTGTTTCCAACAAGAAGAGAAATTATATGATTTTCTATAACTTGTTGTACTGTAAATATATCCATTAAAATTTTAAAATTAATTCTCATAAATAAAAAAAAAGGTATTGAAAAAAAAAAGAGTAAGCCTACCGACAAAATTTTGCTTTTTTACTGCTACAGAATAAGCACTATCTCCAAAATTATTGACAATTGTAAAATCAGCATTTTTTGATAATAATTCATTTGTCGTGTGAGGATTATTTCCAGTTGCAGCATAAATTAAAGCCGTATTACCACACTGTTTGTAAAATAAATTCAATTTATAAATGGGAAGAAACATTCAAAAAGTAAAATTAATTTTTAAAAAAATGTTTTTGCAATAAAATTGGTTTTACTTGATCTCTATGATTAACATCTGCTCCCTCTGAAACTAATAATCTGACAACTTCATGGTAACCCCCGAAAGCAGCAAATAATAATGCAGTTTGACCTTTAGGGTTTTCAACATCAACTCCGACAGAAGAATGTAATAAAGCATCAACAATAGGATATTGACCATAAGCACTAGCCCACATTAATGGTGTCAAACCGTCATCATCGAATAGTTCAATGTTTTCCTCTGCATAGTACGATAAGTTTTCAAAAAAATAGATAGGTGACATTCAAATTTCAAATTTTTTGAATGTAGTTTTTGAAAAATAAACACAAAATTAATCTTACCTTGTTCGATATCTTTAATTGTTAAATCTCCCTGAGCAGCTCTTTGATGAAAATTAAGTTCTTCAGTTCCAATTATAGAAGTTTGTGCTTTAGTGTTTCCCCTTTGTAAATTAGTAAGCACAGTTACGGAAGCCTTTAAAAAAAAAAAAAAAAAAAATTGAAAAATTTTATTTTTAACGTATTACGATAATACATTTTATTTAAAATATTTTTATTCACCTTGTAAGGTAAAAATGCACTTTTCCTAGATCCGTCTTGAAGTGCGTTCCAAGGACTTGAATTAGTATTTACAGAGTATTTATTTTCTGAAGACTGAGACGAATTATTCATATTTTTTACTATATCGGTTTACTTAAAGTTAAACAATAAATTACATAGGTTTTCCATAATTAAAACATTTTCACAATAAAAAAAATTCATTTAAATTTAGATATTTTTTTAAATACAAAATTACTTTGGATAACATCTTTAGATAACTACACTCGTGGTAGCAACTTTTATATTCGTATATTTAAGTTTACATTTTTTTAATTTTGTGAAGCATATTATCAGTGTAAAAAAACAATATTCTATATTGATTATAGACAATAATCAATATTAAATATTAAAAAAACCTAATTTTGAAGTATTCATTTAAAATCATACTTTAATTAAAAGTGTATTTATTATAGTGATGATTGTTTAATATAGAGTACTTATAAAAATATATATACTTAGTACATAAGATTAAATTAGATTAATTTTTTAAAACAAATTCAGTAAAAATGACTAATTGTGTGATAGATATTGTTTCACAATCATCATTAGAAAATATTAAATGCAAAATGAATAACAGAAAGCCTTTTTTAATTAAAAATTGGGATATTGGTCCTTGTGTAACTTTATGGACTCCCGAGTACGTTTCTAGTTGTGTCGGTAAAACTCCCGTAAAATGTCACGTAAGCCTTTTCAAAAAATTGGATTTTATAAAAAAAAATTTTCAATACAAAACATTAGCATTTGATGAATTAATAAAACGAATTTACAACTCTTACAATGATTCTTATTTTCTTGACCCAGAGGAAGTTTATTACTTAAGATCATTGGGTAATGATCCAAGGGGAAAAGATGTTGCCAATTTTCTTTCACAATGTAAAGAATTAGCAAAGGATTTTAATGTACCTCCATTCTTTAATAAAGATGATTTTTTTTCATCTGTATTCAGAGCCAGTTCTCAAGGCTTACAATTATGGACGCATTACGACGTTATGGACAATATTTTAATTCAAGTAAATCCATAATACAAAGTTTTAAATGAAAAAATTTCACTCGGCCTAAATAGCAACGGAATTTGGACTTGAAATTTTTATCATTAATTTTACAGATGATATTTCATTTTTAGGTTCAAGGAAAAAAAAGAGCCTTACTATGGTCTCCCGATGAAGTGAGTAATATGTACATGATCGGAGATAAATCTCAAGTTTTAGATGTTGACAATCCAGATGTTGAAAAGTTTCCCAAATTTTCCTCAAGTTGTAGATATGAATGTTATATGAATGCAGGAGATATACTGTTTATTCCTGCCTTATGGTTTCATAATATTACAGCTTTAGAACCATCCCTTGGAGTTAATATTTTCTGGAAAAATTTGCCCCATGAATTGTACGACAAACATGACTCTTATGGTAACAAAGACTTATTACCTGGATTCAAGGTGAGTTTCTACAATTAAATTCTTGATAAACCTAACATACTTTTAAATTTGAATTGCCATGTTTACAATAATTTAACTTAGTTAAATCATAAATGCAGTAAAATTTCTCACTATTATCAAAAATAAACAAATATTAATATTTTTTTTTAGGCACTCCAAGCCATTGAGTCATCACTCAAATCTTTAAAAACTCTGCCCGATGACTACAAAAATTTTTACATACAAAGAATGATATCAGAATTAGAAAAACAAATAACAAATAAAAATACTTAGATTACAGTTTCTAAAAAATAATAAATTATTTTTCAAACTTTAAAAAATATATTTTTTTCATCTTTTGATTATAATAATTAATTTTATTTAAAATAAAAAAATTTTCAAAAATAACGTCAAATTACAATTTTTTTTATCCATTTTACAATGAAAGATTACTATTTATAGAACTATTAATAATAAGCTCTTTATGTAGATAAAATTAAAAACTTAACTTAAAATTTAAAATAACAAAAGTAAAATTTTTTTTTTTGAATCAGAAAAACTGATCACGTCACTTAAAACTAAAAACTAAACATTAGATATATTTAAAAGTATTAAAAATTAATCTAAATTTTTCTAAATTCCCAGTAACAAAAAATACGATTATTATTATTATTAAAAAATATAAAAGACTTATAAGCAATAAGATACAAAAATGCTGCTAATGAAAAAAGTAAAAATTGCACATTTTTGTAAAATTCAAATGATTTTTTCAAATTTTTACTTATGAGGAGCAAGAACTTTTAAAACTTGATCAATATCGCCATTTTTCGCTTTGAGTAAATGAGTTAACCATCCACCTTCATTATCGAATCCCATTTCAAGCATTTTTTCAAGCATCTCTTCAATGTGAGAACCTAAAGTTTAAATAGTTAATAAAATGTATAAAATTCATGTTATTCATTATATCTCCTAATCCTGAAAACTTCCAACAAAAAAAATTAAATCAATATTTTACTTACTAGAAGTATCCTGCCTTAAATCAGGATATATCGATTTCTGACTCTTATTCGACTCTGAAGAAGAAGATGGCTGCTCTTTTGAAAAGTTAGTATTTTTATTCACCGATTCAGGCTTAATGTCAACTTTACTTTCATAGCTTGATTTTTCAGGTGAGATTTTAATTGTTGATTCTTTTTTGTCTTCTGTTGAAGTGGAAGTATCAGATGATACTTTAGTTTCTTCTTTCATTTTTTCATTTCCTTTGGAAGAGGATGGCTTAACATCAATGTCAACATCAATGCCTAATAGAAATAATAAGATTTATTTTTAGCTTTTAAAACTATTACCAATTTCTTATTTTAAAAAAATTTTAATTTTTACCTAAAGGATCGAGAATAGATGTAATAGTTTTTCCAATGTTTCTTAAATAATTTATATGAGGAGGTTCCTCAGTATTATTGCTTGCATCAGAATTTTTCTGTTTGTTCTCTTTTTTATCAGTTTCACTTTCAAAATAAACGGGATCAAGATATGGTAAGTATTCTTCAATCAGTTGTTTGCACACATCTACTAAATATGTAATTAAAATATTGATAAATGATATTTATTTAAACCATCAATTAAATAATATCAACTATTGTAAATTAAAAAATAATCAAAAAAATTTTTTTAGGTAAAATTAAATTATAAAAATTTTAAATACCATTAAAGGTTTTCCATTTTCCAAATCCGTGATGTCTTCTACAACCACTTCCATTCAAATTTTCAGTTTTAGGATTTGAATTACTTTTTTCATACTTTTCTTTTTTACAAAATTCCGAATTTGTACACTTGAAAGATTTTTTTTTATTGTGGTGAGAATTTTGTTTCAAGTCATCAGATTTATGCGATGAGAAAAATTTCATTAATTTATATAATGTTCTTCTGTCCTACAGAAAAATATTAAAAACAAAAAAAAAAATTAAAGAATGAAATAATAGGCCTGAAAAATTTTTTGAAAAAATGTCGTTTAACACTTACCAATACATATGCGTCGGACAATCTAATCATAGGATGCTCTGAATGTAATGAAGTTTTTTCACAAGAACTGCACAAATCATAATCTGGACAAACTAGGCATTTGTACCTAAAACCCTTAACTTTATTATCGCAGCTATCACAAATAATAACTGGGTGCCAAGCATTTAAATTATCATTTTCAGAAGTGTAAAAATGATCCGAATTACTATGATTAACTTTCACATAAAGTTTTTTTACATCTGACTTTGTTTCAAGCAAAGCAGTTTCTAACTCAACATCAGATGATATTGAAATTTCATCTCCATCTTCATCTAAACAAGAAAAATTTTAATATTTAATTTTATGAGACGATGACTTTATAACAAAAATTAAATAAACAAATATAATTGTAATTCCATTTATATCAATCCAATCATAAGAAAACAAAGAAAATAAAAAAAAATTTACCAATCCAATAAACAGAAAATGTTTCATTTGCAATTGTTGGAAAAAACTGCACAATTTTTTGTTTAATATGTAAAAAATCAAAAGCTAAATTCTTTGAAACTTCAAATCTTCGAACTTCTGGCTTTTGACCATTTTCAGTATTTATGTACACTTTATAAGCAACCAATTGATTTTCCATTCTGAAAGTTAAAAATAAATACTTTGAATTTTCAAATTATAAATTTTTCATTTTTACTTTAAAAGTATTTATGCTTTTTTGAAATAATTATCATTTACACATAAAAATTATAATATTAGTACATAAAAATACATAATTTACACATATTCTTTAATAAAAAGTTATAATAATTATATTATAATTTGTTAAAAATTTAAATTTATTAAAAAATTTAGTTTAAAAAAAATATATATATATAAATATACTTAAGTATATTACTTATTTAAACTAAATCTGCTATTTTAGTAATCCATAAGTATTGGTTAATAAACTGTGGGTTTTTAATAAAAAAAAAAAAACAAATTATTGAAAAAGAAAAGAAAAATTAATTACGACTGTTTTGTTTTTAATAAACTTTATTTAGAAAACATATTTTGAATTGCGCAAAAAAAATTTTTTTAATAAAAAAAAATTAGTCACAAATATAAATCATTTGATTCTGCAAAATGCATTAAATTGCAATAAATGTAAAAAAAAAAAAAATAAATAAATAAATAAAATGTTAACTTTTTATTTCAAGCAAAATGGATTTTAAAAAAGTAATTAAAAAATAATAAAATTATTTTTAAAATGAGTAATTATTATGTTTTAAATTTAAGAAAAATTAAATGAAACAATATTTAATACCTTACCTTAAATTTTATTAAAATATTTAAAAAACAGTAAATATCAATTGCGACCGACTACTCACTCTCACTTCAATAATAATAATAAAGTCAATAATAAAAAAATTCCTTATTTATAACTATTTTTTACATTTTATGATGCAACACTACACAAGTCATTAAAAAAAATGAAACTCATTGTCAGTTAGCCAATTTCTGAATGAAGAAAAAAAAAATTAATGTATTATTTAATATTTATTTAATGTATATTAAAACCTTAATTTTTGCGTACAATAAATGATTAATACAATTAAAAAAAATTAAATCTAAATATTTAAAAAAGTAATTTTAATTGTAATTATGTTTATTTCGTAATTTAATTTTTAAGATTGGTACCACTGTTTAAAAAAACGTCAAGTAATATTTATATGTATTTATGGGAAAAAGTGAACATCACGCCAAATTAGCAAAAAAATATAATTTCATTTTCAAAAATTTTTTAAATTAATTATATAATATTCAAATTTTATTTTTTATCTACCTATTTCCTTACCTATTTCAGTCTTTTTAATACCGCATTCATTTTTTGTAATAATTTACAAAAATTTAGAACAGAAGTACTGTTTTGATATTTGTCTAATCATTATTATTACTATGAGTTCATTTCAAAAGTAAATGAAAAAAAAAAAAAAATGTTCAAAAAGTATTGCTTTCGAACAATAAAAAAGGTTTATTTATATTTATTAATTATGCTACCTATTTGTTGTACTTCAAAAAATATATAAACAAAAAAAAATAAAAAATAAATTGATGTAAGATTCGTGGTTTGTAATAATCACGTGATTTTTACCAAACATAAAATGACTGCGTCAAAACTAATTAGAGTTTTGAACCTTGTTATTTTTAATGTTGAAAATAAACCTTGGTTCACTTTTAATATAAAAATTTATACGATTTATCAAAATGACATTTATTATTTGTTTAAATATTATAAAATATTTATTTTTAAAAAACAAAATTTTAATTATTTTACCGCAAAATAACAAATTCTTACTATCAAAAAACTAAAAAATTAAGTTCTTATATAGAAATTTGGAAAATATTTAATGAATTAATTATATGATAGCGTGATATAAACCAATTCTCTTAATATTATTATTAATTACTTTTTTTTTAGTACGCCATTAAAAAAAAAAGAAGAAATTTCTAAAAGTTTCTTTCTTCTAAAAAATAGCAACTATTTTAGTTAATTACTTGTTCCAATTTATTTAAAAAAAATTTTCAATGTTCAAAATACCTTAATAATTATACTTAATTTTTACCTCAAAATGGAATACTATATTTTAAAAATATTGTTTTATTTTTCGACTTATTATAAATAATTAAAAGAAAAAATCTTATTATTAGAAAATGAAAATTATTTAGTAAATTATTACCGGATTTTTTTGGGGGCAAAAAACATAAAATTTTCATAGCTATTAATAACAATACATAAGGTGTTTTTCTTTTTTTTTTTTATAAAGTACTTATTATTATAGCTATATAATTAAATTAATTTCAATAACTTATACCATTCTTTAAAAAGTTTGAAAAAACATTTTAATTAAACTAAAAACAACAACAAAATTCATGTATTTATTATAAAAAATAAAAACGGTTTTGTATTAGGAAACAATTTCAATTACAATTTTAAAATTAAATATGGAGGATGGTGCATTCAATACAATTAATTTTCAAATGTTTTGATACTGTGAAATTTTATTTACTTATCAATTATTTATTAATTTTTTATTATTAATAATTAATTATAACGTTTTTTTTTTTTTTTTTTTAATCAAAAACTAGTTTTCATTGATAACGTTTAACATGAAACCAGTATCAACTTTAATTCATGATAAATAAATATACATTTTATTAAAAATTTTCTTACTTGGAAATATTTTGTTATTATTAATAATAAATCAATCATTATTATTATTTTTTCTTTAAATTGTTGTTTTACATTAAAAATAACTTTTTGTAAATTTTGTTTGTGATACCCACTGATACTTTTAACAAACTAATTAGGTTTTTTTGAATTGAATTGTTTTAAAACAATTTGTAGACAACAAAGAATTTTATTTAAATTTTTACATTACCATCAATAAATTATTTAAAAATATTGTTTAAATTGTTTTATTATATACTTTTTTTTTAAAAAATTAATTAAAGCTTTCCATGTTTAAAATTTCTTTTCAAATGTATAATTATTATTATTATTATTTACAGTTAACTCAACACTGGTTAAATTTTTAATGTGTTGGTATTTTTTTTTGTTGTTCAGAAACTTTAATAAAGTATATTTCTAATTTTACACATAAATGGTATGTACTTTATTTTCAGTGAATGTAAAAAATATCATTTATTAAAATTAATAAATTTTATATAAAATAAAATGTATAAAACTTATTAAAAGGTTTATCAAACGGTAATTAAATGAAAGAGTAATAAATTTATTAGTAAAAAAAAAATTTTTTTTTTTTTTTTTATGGAGTTGTTGAAATAAGTTGATTCGGGTATAATATTGAGCGTATATGACTTTTCAATTAAGTATAATATTTAGGTACAAAATCCGTGACAGATTTGTTTTTTTTTTTTTTCCGCAATCGGGCGTCGACCTGAAACAAGGTACACTTGACAGTGACCGCTTTAAATAAAAAAATAAAAATTTTTTATTTTCAATGATGGCGCGACTCATTAAGGTTAAATCATTATAACACGTAAACTTTTTTAAAAATAAATTACCTTTTTAAAAATCGGTGAAAATGTTTTTTTTTTTTTTTTTTTTTTTTCAAAATGTCTTCAAATTTCATATTGACTAACGTTTGTACTTTTGCTTATTAAATAATATCAAAAAATTTATTTTTTTTATTGGGAAAAAATAATTGATCGTTTGAA